TGAGAGACTTCCAACTGAATACTCAAAGACGTATAGTGAACTATAGTGTGAAGCATGAATTACAGGGCAGAAAAATGACCTGACAAAAAGAGAATGGGCTAATAGCAGTAGACCGAAGGGCAATGCCTGTCTGTTCAGACTTTTCTTGGCCTGTTTAGCATTTCTTCCTTCCAGGTATAGGGTAGGATCTTCTCTGGAATGGAGTTCTTATGACCTACAATCAAACGAGGTAGGATAGAGAATTTCTTTATGGTCAGTTCTTAAACAGAAAGGCAGGGAAAAGTTAAGAGTAGCATTTCCAGGTTTTTATGACTGGCGTTGGGGAGCAGTGGTCCTGGTGTTTACAACCACCTTGGAGAAGAGGTATCCTTGTTTCTATGGTTTGTTTTGGGGGAAAGTTAGGATAAGGAACAGAAGGGTGGAGAAGGTCACTTTGGGTATCATTTTCTAAGCCCCAATAGGAAGAAGAGGACCATAAAAGAACATTAGGGAAAAATTGGTGGAATTTGAAAAAAAAAATGTGTGAATGTTAGTTATGAAGAAAGTTCCACAGTAATGTTAATGGAGACCCTAGGGGAGGAGTACGGAGAAACTATTATTGTAACTTCTCTGTAAATCCATTCCAAAATAAAAATTTTAAGAGTATTCCAGGTTAACTTCCTTTTTATTGATACTTTTCTGAAAATTAAGCATGCAAAAGAGTTGCTTTTCAGCTCTCACTTCCCTTTCAACACTGAGCAATAAGATCAAGGTGTCAATGATGAAAAAGGAGAAAACAGATTCCATAGCTGCTGGCACCTTTTGACTAAGAGCAACGATCCAGTCTATGATGTGTCAGCCATGGTGGTATGATACAACCCTCATGCAACGATGGCCTCTTACTTATGGCTTTTGTCTTTGGCAGTCATGCCACTAAACTAACTGACAACAACTTAGTGTCAAAGAAATACCTAATTTTCAATTAATGTTAATGATACAATTTTTCCTAACACTATCCCTTCATACAATATAAGGGATAGGGAGTGAAGAAATTTTTCTCAGGGATTCAACTTATTTGTTGTCCTCATGCTGAACCTATCAGATCAATTTCAAGGTTGAAATTTTTAGTGATTCAGGTTTTAAATGTGACTGTTTATTCTCTTCTCTATACTGAGCAAACCATGTAGGCTAAAATGATGCCAGCTTCACCAAGTGTTTTCTTGACTAAGACTGTACTAATTTTTGTTTTACCAAAAGTGAGTCTGCTTTCTAGTACGAGTGCTGTGCTCTTGTCATGAAGTAGCCCTTTTCGATCCAACTCCAAAACCTGCTGTCTTAGCTTGGCAGGAACACCACTATCATGGAAAGCACAGTGCGAGCAGGCATCATGATATTGGAAAACAAGATTCTAGGCAAGATGCTGAGGTCGGACACATTCAAGGGCTTGAGGAGATGACTTGTTTTTATAAACATTCAGTGCAAAATGAATCACTAGAGCAGGGTAAACTTAATGTCCTCTATATCTTTCCCCCCCAAAGTATGCAAGAATCAATACCACTATCACCACCTTCAGTGCCACACACACACACACACACACACAGAAGAATGCTTGGGAAATCTCAGGGATATCAAAGGTCCTACAAAAACAGGGCAAGACATATTCAGACATAACAGGCAGGCCAAAATCTAGCAGCAAGTTGAAGGAAACTAACAGAGGGCACAGTTGCCCAGAAAAGAAAGGAGACATGCCAAGAGCAGGTTTGGCTCCCACTCAAGTTAACCAGTATTAAGTCTGTTTACAGACTCATACAGACTTTCACATCACTCAATGACTTTTCATAAATATTTATTGGTGTTATCCACAGAATTTAAGCTATTCCTTAATGTAAAAAACTTCAAATTCTATAGTGAGTTTGTCTATAGGTATTTTCTTATATTTTTTCTATAAAATTTTTGACATTACATATAAACAGTTTTTGTAGGTGAGGATTTTATTTTCTTCAATTCTGAAACTGACACACTTCCTCAGGAAAGAAATTTCTAAAAACAAACATTCAATATTTGTTCAAAATCATCTATTCAAATATAAAATTTTATCCTATTTGATTTTTAATGCAATTAATTTTGCTGTGAAGGCTTTTGTGTTTTTCCCTGAAATGTCTCTGACTTTAATGAAGGCCTCTGATCATTCAGAATGTTGACAATTTTCTTCTTCATGTGAAGTCTCCGAGATACAAAACTGAATTCTTAGAGTTCTTCTGAAATATATTATGTTAATAGGATTTCATTCCAGTCTACTAGAGAGACAGCAAAATAATGCATATAATAGGTCAAATCTGAGGGCTCATTGGAAAACAAACTTAATTCTGGCTTGAAAAAGAAACAACTGATGAAGATATGGAAGCAGAGAATTATATTCCAAACAGTTATTCAGACTCTAGCTTCTTTTGACCTTGTGCTCCACCACATTCATCACACAGAAACCAACTTGCTGTGGAAATCATCTCAATCCCATCTTACCATGGACCAGGAAGACTCTAAGATGTTTAAGGACCAGTACTAAATGTAATATATATCATTAGCATCATATTCTTTGGTCAACCCACCTGGTTGACTGAGATTGGGATTTTCAACAAGCTATGAGCCTAGTGAAAAGGGAAAATGTTAAGGAAAACAATTTTCCAGTCTACATGACAAGAGTTTCTCTGCTGTGTGGTATAAAATAAGGCATGAGTTAATTCAGGACTTCTCAAATTCATGATGTGTTAGGGTTTTCTCTCTGGTATGCATTCTGATGTGATGTACTCTAAAAGCTGCCTCACGAACAAAAATGTTCCCACATTCACCACATTCATAGGGTTTCTCCCCTGTGTGAATTCTCTGTTGTACTCTAAGAGTTGAAAAGTGGGCAAAACCTTTCCCACATTCATTACACTCATAGGGTTTCTCCCCTGTGTGAGTCCTCTGGTGTGCACTAAGGTGTGACTTCTGAGAGAAAGTTTTCTCACATTCATTACATCCATAGGATTTCACACCTGTGTGAATTCTCTGATGCACTCTAAGGGATGAGTTAAGGGCAAATGGTTTCCCACATATATTACATTCATAGGATTTATCCCCTGTGTGAACTCTCTGATGTGCACTAACATGACTTCCCAGAGAAAGTTTTCCCACATTCATTACATTCATAGGGTTTCTCCCTGTGTGAGTCTTCTGGCATGCATTAAGGTGTGACTTCTGGAAGAAAGTTTTCCCACATTCATTACATTCATATGGTTTCTGCCCTGTGTGAGTCTTGTGGTGTGCACTAAGCTGTGACTTCTGGGAGAAAGTTTTCCCACATTCATTACATCCATAGGATTTCACACCTGTGTGAATTCCCTGATGCACTCTAAGGGATGAATTAAGAGCAAATGGTTCCCCACATATATTACATTCATATGGTTTCTGCCCTGTGTGAGTCTTGTGGTGTGCACTAAGCTGTGACTTCTGGGAGAAAGTTTTCCCACATTCATTATATCCATATGATTTCGCACCTGTGTGAATTCCCTGATGCACTCTAAGGGATGAGTTAAGGGCAAATGGTTTCCCACATATATTACATTCATAGGGTTTCTCCCCTGTGTGAGTCCTCTGGTGTGCACTAAGGTTTGACTACTGGGAGACCCTTTCCCCACATTCATTACATTCATAAGCTTTCTCCCCTGTGTGAGTCCTCTGGTGTGCCATAAGGTGTGACTTCCGGGAGAAAGTTTTCCCACATTCATTACACCCATAGGATTTCACACCTGTGTGAATTCTCTGATGCACTTTAAGGGTTAAGGGCAAATGGCTTCTGACATATATTACATTCATAGGGTTTCTTCCCCATGTGAACTCTCTGATTAGCACTAACATATGATTTCTCAGAGAAAGTTTTTCCACATTCATTACATTGATAGGGTTTCTCCCCTGTGTGAGTTCTCTGGTGTGCATTAAGGTGTGACTTCTGGGAGAAAGTTTTCCCACATCCATTACATCCATAGGATTTCACACCGTGTGAATTCTCTGATGCACTCTAAGGTTTGAGTTAAGGACAAATGGTTTTGCACATATATTACATTCATACGGCTTCTCCCTTGTGTGAACTCTCTAATGTGCACTAACATGTGACTTCTTAGAGAAAGTTTTCCCACATTCATTACATTCATAGGGTTTCTCCCCTGTGTGAGTCCTCTGGTGTACACTAAGTTGTGACTTCTGGGAGAAAGTTTTCCCACACTCATTACATTCATAAGATTTCTCCCCTGTGTGAATCCTCTGGTGTGCCCTAAGGTTTGACTTCTGGGAGAAAGTTTTCCCACATTCTTTACATTCATAGGGTTTCTCCCCTGTGTGAGTCCTCTGGTGTGCACTAAGGTGTGACTTGTGGGAGAAAGTTTTCCCGCATTCATAGGATTTCACACCTGTGTGAATTCTCTGATGCACTCGAAGGGATGAGTTAAGGACAAATGGTTTCCCACATATATTACATTTACAGAGTTTCTCCCCTCTGTGAACTCTCTGACGTGCACTAACATATCACTTGTCAGAGAAAGTTTTCCCATATTCATTACACTCATAGGGTTCCTCCCCGAGTCCTCTGGAGTGCATTAAGGTGTGACTTCTGGGAGAAAGTTTTCCCACATTCATTACATTCATAGGGTTTCTCCCCTGTGTTAACTCTCTGATGTCACTAACATATGACTTCACAGAGAAAGTTTTCCCACATTCATCACATTTGTAGGGTTTCTCCCTGGTGTAGATTCGGTGATGGACCCTGTAGGCTGAATTATCAGCAAAAGTTTTCCCACATTTATTACACTCATAGGGTTTTTCCCCTGTATGAATTCTCTGATGTGTACAGAGGTGTGTTTTTGGCAGTCTTCCCACATTTGTTACATTCATAGGGTTCCTCCCCTGTGTGAATTCTTTGATGCACTACCAGGGCAGCCTTATAGACAAAAGTATTCCTGCATAAGCTACATTCACAGGGTTTTTGCATTGTGTGAATTCTTTCATGTGCACTGAGATATGATTTCTGAGAGAAAGTTTTCCCACATTCACCACATTCATAGGGTTTTTCACCTGTATGAATTCTATGATGTTTACTGAGGTGTGTCTTTTGAGAAAAAGTTTTCCCACATTCATTACATTCATAGAGTTTTTCCCCTGTGTGAATTTTCTGATGTGATATAAGCACTGAATTACGGGCAAAAGTTTTCTCACACTCATTACACTGATAAGGTTTCTCCCCTGTGTGAATCCTCTGATGTACTCTGAGGGCTGAATTATGGGTAAAAGTTTTCTCACAATCACTACATTCATAGGGCTTCCTACCTGTGTGAATTCTCTGTGCTCTTAGAGCTGAATTGTAGGTAAAAGATTGCCCACATTCATTACAGACATAGGGTTTCTCACTTGTATAAATTCTTTCATGTGCTCTGAGAACAGAAATATAGGCAAAAGACTTTCCACATTCTTTACATTCATAAGGTTTATCCCCCGTGTGAATTCTCTGATGTGCTCTGAGGGCTGAAATATGGGCAAAAGTTTTCTCAGTCAGTACATTCATAGAGTTTCTTACCTGTGTGAATTCTCTGATGTGCTTTTAGGGCTGAATTACAGGTAAAAGATTTTCCACATTCAACACATTCATAGGATTTCTCTCCTGTGTGGATTCTCTGATGTGTATTGAGGTGTGTATTGTGAGAGAAAGTTTTCTCACATTCAATACATTCATAGGGTTTGTCACCTGTGTGAATTCTCTGATGTGCTCTGAGATGTGATGAGATGTGATAAGGTTTCTCCTCAGTGTGAATTCTCCAATGTTCTTTGAGACATGCCATCTTGAAGAATGTTTTCCCACATTCACTGCCTTCACAGAGATTCATCTTTGTTTCTGTTCTCTGATGTCCTACAAGGGGTAACCTGTAAGATTTCCCACAGTCATTGTTACCATAAGTTTTGTCCTTTGTGTGAATTCTCACATGTTCACTAAGGTTTGACTTCTGACAGAAAGTTTTCCCATAATCATTACATTCATAAAGTCTGAATCCCACATAAGCTCCAGAATGCTGAATAGAGTGTGAACTTGTACAAAAGGATTTCTCACATTCTTCATATTGAAGTTTCTCCCCTGAGTGGGTCCTCTGATACCAAATGAGGTGTGCTTTCTGGTGAAAGTATTTCCTGCATCTCCCATATTCAGCAGAACAGCAGAATTTCTCTTCTGTGTGGGTTCTCTGATGTATTGTAAGGTCTAATTTCTGGTTGAAGGTATTTTTGCATCCATTATATTCACAGAATTTATCTCTTCCTGTTTGTGTTTTCTGACATACTATATGAGCTGAGCTCTGGCTAAAGTTTTCTTCACATTTACTGCTTTCCAATGCACTCTGTTCTATAACAGTTCTCTGAGACTGAATGAAGGATAACTTTTTCACTGAAATGAATCCCACTTTCATTAAATTTATGGTGTGTCATAGCCATGTGAACTTTATTGTACTCCACAATGGTGGCTCTGTCACAGGATTTCCCACATTGATTAAGACCAGAACATTTTTCCCTTGTGTTAGTTCTCATGTAGTTAAGTAAAAAGGTTTTATCACAGTTTATCCTAAATTCATCATCCTTACAGGACTTCTCTCTTGTTACAAAATTCTCTGCCCTAATATAGACAGTCTTATCATATAAAACATTTCCAAATTCATTACATTCAAAAGACTGCCCCAAAGTTTGAAATTTCTGATACTTATCTTTCTTATAACTGTGAACTTTCACATTTTTATTATATTCATAAGATTTCTCTCCAGGCTGAGTTTTCTTATGCTTGAAATCAAGCTGCAATTTCTCAGACACATTCATGTAATCAACCTTCTTTCTTGAATAGTTTCTTTCACTTATAATTAACTCACAAGCAACTGGCAAATTCCTTCTACACAAGTCACATTGACAGGGCATTTTTCCTGAAAACCCTGGAGCTACACCCAGATTTAATGGTCTTTCTAAAATTTTCTGTTCTTCTTTACTCAATGTTTTATCATTGTCATCAATGAATATTACTTGACACAGAGGCTTCTTTTGTTTTTCCTGGATCTCTTTATGTTGTCATCAATTTTATAATATCCTAAAATGAAAGAAATTGAGAACATATTATAAATCTTACACTTTTCATGGAGAGGGACTTTTACCCATGTTTTGTTATGTATTTTATTCTATTGTTTCTGGTCATGTTTCCAAAGACTAAAAACGTACACAGACAGATACTTTTTCTTGTTCCTGATCCATAATGTTTAAAGAAATAGGTATTATTTTCATCCAAGATGGAGTAGGCCCTTTCCTCCCAGATCTTCCTTCTTACAATTAAAAATCCTTGCAAGAAAAAAAGATGAACAAACATACAAAGACTACAAAATAGAAAAATGTGAACCTCAGGTCTTAAGAAATGACACAGCAGAGAATTCAAAAGCTATTCTTTCTGCTTCCCATATATCCTAGACAGAGTGCTGAAGAAACCTACAACCTGGAGCCAGCAACAAAAAGAGCTTCAAGAAAAAAAAAGCCTGTTTCTTCTAGCCAAAGGTAGTTTAACAGAACCGAAAACATATTTCACAACATCCACATACTCATGCAAAACAAAAACAGAACACTTCTGGGGTTCCATGAGGGCTGTCCAAGAAGCTAACCTTCCACTGCAATGGATA